TTCAAAATTTAGATTTAAAACAAGCAAAAATTAAATATTTTCATAATTAATAAAAAAAACAAAAAATAATAAAAAATGAATAAATTAAAGAAGATTTTTGGCTTAAAAATTTAAAGTTAAATAAAGTATCTTTAAATATTTTCCAAACCACAAATTTACTTTTCATCTTAAAAAACAATTTTTGAATCTAACAAAAATTTCATAGTAATAAAAGATAACTTAACTTATTCTCAGTATTGCTAATAAACTTTGGATTGCATTCATGGAAATACTATTTTGAAGGAATACGCACAAACCTCAAATAATAGTTTTAATAATCTTCAAAAAATATTGGATGATTAATAGCTCAAAGAATAGTTAAGATAATGTTTATGTAGCTATTTACTTTAGAATCCTTAAGATTATTAACAGAGGAATACTTTAGGCAATATTTACTTAGAAATGGAAATGATAGAAAAAGCTAAATAGTGCTATGAGAATTCTTTATAAGTAAATCCTTAATTTGAAGATGCACTAAACAATCTTGGAAATACTTATTTTTAACTTGAAAATTTTGAAGAAGCAAAAGTTTACTTTGGAAAGGCTTTAAGTATGAATCCAAATAATATATGTGCTCATATTAATTTAGGAAATACCTATTTTAAATTGTAGATGAGAGATGAAGCAAAACTTAGCTTTGAGAAAGCATTAGAAATTAACCCAAACTCTGCTTTTATCATGAAAAGGATAGGAGATACTCTCTTTAAATTTAACAAAGAAAAAGCAATTGAATATTATCAAAAATCTTTGGAAATCGATCCTTCAATAAAACTTTCTAATTATAAATTAGGACTTATCTATTATCTTAAAAAAGCAACTTAAAGTGCAAAATAGTATTTTGAAAATGAAATAAAATTGAATCCACAATTTTATAAATCTTACTTTTATTTAGGAATACTTTATCTTGATTTGTTATAAGACATAGCGCAGGGAAAAAAACACTTTGAAATGGCTTTTAAAATGAAATCAGATGATATAGATGTCTTACTTGAGTTAGCAAAAATCAATAATATTTAAGGTAATAAAGATGAAGCCTACAAATTATTTAAGTAAGTTTTAAATATAAATCCTTAAAATACAACAGCACACTACTTTATTGGTAAGATTTGCAAAGAATTGGGTTAATAATAAGAAGCAATTCTCAGCTTTTAAAATACTTTAAAGTTTTTTATTCCTAAGAAGGCAATTGATTATCGCGATTTGGGATTAATTTATGTTGAGTTGGGAAACTTAGATGAAGCTCAAAAATATTTAGAAAAAGCAATTTAGCTTGACTAAACAAATGAAGAAATTTTATGTACGATGGGAGATCTGTATAGTAGAAAGGGATTAAGAGAAAAATCAAATTTCTACTATAAAAAAATGTTAGAGATAAATGCTACATCATATTTAGCACTTTAATAATTAGGTTACAATTATTATTAAGATGGAATGATTAAAGAAGCCAAATAATACTATAAGTAGTCTTTATAAATAAATCCTGACAATATTGATTTACAGTATAAGTTAGGGTGTCTTCTTCATGAAATTGGAGAGAGACAAGAGTCTATGAGATGTTACGAGAATTGTCTTAAAATAAATCCTTCTTATGTATAAGCTCTGCATATAATAGGATCTATTTATTTAGAAGTTGGTAAGATAGATGAAGCAAAATAAATGTTTGATAAGGCTTTAAAATTAGATAGTAAGTATATATATTCTTGGTAAGGTTTAGGATTTGTTTTTTTTCAAAAAAGTATGCCATACGAGTGCATAGAAGCATTAAAAGAGGTTTTAAAAATTGATCCCTAAAACAAACATTCTCTTTTCTATATAGGTTTGGCTTATGAATAATTATTAGGTAATAAGAAGGAAGCTAAAAAATATTATGAAGATATTTTAAAAATAGACCCTTAATTTGAATAAGCTCTCTAGCATTTACAATCCCTGAAAAAATGAAGAGTTAGAAAATGTAATTTTAGATTAGATAGTAATAAATAAATAAGGAATTACTTTGTTCTTGTGCTATTTGGCATATTAAAAAATTTGAGTGTATTTTTCATTATTTTAGTGCTAAAAGCTAAATAAAAAATATTATAAAGTGTGGTTATAACAATATATGAATAATTTGTTTTCATTTTACAAATTTGTAGTTTTTTTATATAAATTATCTTATATTTTAATAAAAGTAATTAAAATTTACTTATAAGAATAACTTGGATCAGATAAAACTTTCAAAAATTTTACATTTACTTTCTACAAAAATATATGATATTCTTTTTTCTTCAATCATTTTATGTTTTTCTTTTTATTTTTTAATTTAAAAAACATTTATCAAATATATACATGTTCTCTCTAATTTATACACATAATTTTATAAAATTCTAAAACCTTCCATCAAATTTTCTAAAATTTTTTTTGTATTTATTCTAGAAATTGAGGATTGAGTTATCAAGGAACTTCGGTAATAAAAAAAGCTTTTAACTTTTCTTTCAAATTAAGGATTCATACTCATGGATCACCACTAAGTTTTGAAATAAATTATCTTTACATAACAGAACATAGTAGTACATGTATTAAAGATAAAATATTATAAACTTGAAAATAAATATAATAATTTATGTTATTTAAGTTAAATATCAATTATTATATATTAAATATGATTTTAGGCCTTAAATAATCTTAGAATAAATTTAAATTAACTTAAAAATAAATCTAATAAAAGTTAATATGCTAGTGTATAAATCTTTAAATTGCTTGAAAGATTACAAGAGGATACAAATAAAAATATTTTATACTTTAATTATAACTTTTTAAACTACTTAATCTCTAAATTATTGTAAAATAAAAGAACTCATTTAAGAATAAATTATTAATAATAAATATATTTATCTTTATTTTAGAATATAATTGAAGACTAATTTAATTTAATAGACTAAATATAATATATTCACCTAAATATTATTTTATTAGTAATTAATCTTCAAATATTTTTTATATAAAAAGTAGATTTGTCAACTTTATTCCTAAAAATACATTTTTAAATTTTAATTCTTTAACAAATATTAAAATAAAAATATTTTATTATATATAATAGATAGGCAGAATTATAGCCCAACCCACCTTT